TGGAGCATGTTGACAGATGGCTGTACAACTCTGTGATCAGTAAGGTAATATGTAGGTAAGGAGTCTGTTGGAACATGTTGACAGATGGCTGTACAACTCTGTGATCAGTAAGGTAATATGCAGGTAAGGAATCTGTTGGAGCATGTTGACAGATGTGTTACTCCGTGACATTGAGTAAGATCAAATATACTGTTGAAGTCTTGAGAGATCAGCAAATGCATTGTGTTGTACTCATTTCTGGTTGATTGATACACATTTATAAAATTGTATGTCCACATGTGTCCTCAGTACTTTTAAGTTAACTTAAGAACAACTAAAACAGCAGCAGTTATTATAAGGCACTTTACTAAAATGGACTGACATAAGTGAAAAATGTTGCTTACGTGTAATAGAAACAATTGTAAGTGCATAATACCTGCATTGGTATTGTTGATAATTATAGTATTACATATCAAAGTATTTTACTGTTTACTAAAAATTATTATTTATATGCTGAAATAGTGGTATTAAGAACTTTTGGTCAAAGTGAACTAACTCTTTATATGTGTACTAAACTAATATAAAAACATAATTCCAAAACGTACATGCCTCTGCTGACACTAATAGCTATTTCTCAATCTTCATCTTTGCCATCTAACGTTTGTTTGCTTGCTCCAGTCTTTATATACCCCACTCAACTGCCCATGGCAATATCTAATTTGCAAAACTTTATGTCTGCCCTCACAGCCCTCCATGCAGGAACTGTATATAAGCATTGTATACAGACAATAAAATCACTTTTTCTCAACAAAGCACAAGCATTCAGACTAATATTTTGTGATTTACATTTTCTTAGTTTTTGCTTTCTAATAATCGGGATTTCTTTGTTTTGTTATTGAGAGATATATTTCGTTGAATTAGTTTTTTGTTTTTTCCTACAAATATATTAAAAAAAAATTGGATATGAATTTCCATGTAACGGTTTTAAACATGGAGGCTACTCAGCCTTCGTCTATTCCTCCTTTGTTATCTAGTGGTGGTCAGCAGTCGGGGAGGAAGCCACTCTCTGTGGAAACTGTCAGTGACCTGATTCGGAGTGAGATGGAGTCCTTCATGTGGCCTGGGGGTATCTCTCTGGGAGGTGCTGATTTCAATTTTCATTCTGAAATGGGATATTCTGGGGATAATTTAGACTTCCTGTTTCCTGCTCCTTCTTTCACTAGAGCTTCCTCTCCTGAGGACTCATCTGATCATCCACCTTCTACCTAATTGGGACTTTAGGGTTGTTTTACATGCTTTATCACATCATCCCTTCGAACCCATGGCCTCCTGTTCATTATATCACCTTTCCCTCACAGTTTATTTTTTATTGCTGTTAGCTTCCGGATGCTGTCATACTGATTTATTTACCATTCATGTTCAGTAGATTCTCTGTCATTCTACCTATGTTTTACTCTATCCCGACCAATCATTTATTCCAAAAACTCTCCCTGCCAGAGAAGGAAACAAATCTTTTTATCCTATTCATTTACTTTGCATTTCTCACCTTTACAGTAGATAAGACCCATATCATTTGTTATGTCCCATCAGGGTTCTCAGATGTTATGTGGCTTGTACAGAACCATTTCGAGGCCCTAGGAACAGACTTTTTATTTATTGGGATCCTGCAGTGTCCAGGGATTTATCACCTGTTACTTTAACCAGATGGCTTCAGAAGTTGATCCATGTTGCCTAATCGGGCTTATCTGTTAATGATCACAATATGCTCCACGTCACCTCTCAGCAGATTCAACACCTATCAATGTCTTTGGTTGAACTGTTCTGTAGAAGATATCTTACGGGCTGGTATGTGAACTTCTCCCGATATGTTCATATCTCAATACCTTCACAATCTGGCAGTTTCCTCTTCGATGGGATTTCGTCTTCCCCCTGTAGCTGTGTTGATTACCTCTACTAGATTTTAACAGGGAGGTGAGTAACATGTTATTTGACTTAAAATTATTGTTCTTTTCTCTCCTAGGGTTCCTATTGATTTTTTTTTTATCCCACTCAGTGGCGAATGTTACCCATAAGACCATCTGGATGCAATTCTAGGTGATGATATCTTATTACAATATTTTTAATGGGCTGCTACTCATGCACTATCATGAGTAAAGCTAAAGGGGATTTTGCCAGTCCCTTCTGATCTTAGAGCTGAATCAGTCGAGATCAGCTTGCTTTTAAAAATTAGGGAACGTGGTTCGACTGTTGCACTGTCTCTGGAGACCTGCTCCTCAGGACTCCCCATTCATTCTGTGGTTACTGGTAGGGATCATATCACAAGATATATATATATATATATATATATTATATATCTGTGGTCCAACTGCCCTGGCCACCAACGTGGGAT